AATGGGAAATTTGAATAAATGTGTATCATGATTAAACAAAAAACTAAATATAATAAAATCAATAAATTAATTATTAACTATTAATTATTATTTATTAATTTTAGTAATAACTAATTTTTATTTATTAACAAATAATATTTTCTTAATATTTATTTAAAATTAATAGCAATAAATAATAATCAATATTAATGAGGGTTATAATTGAAAAAAATGACAATAAAACTACTCATAAGCTACTTCAACTAGCGTGTCGATAAGTAAATTTATAAGTTAGTTTATGTTCATACAAATGTGTACTCAAAAAATAAGTTAACTTATAAGCTAGTTTATGTTTTCAAACAATGCTTTAGTCTATCATCATACATTTAAATACGATAAAACTTTTTGTTATAAAAAGTTGACATAACCCGTACAGTTAATGATTGAAATATGTCTCTCTCACTCAATGGTGAAATTTCGTAGGTTATTTTGCTAACTTGATGATTAGCCCAAGTAACATTAATTGGACTTTTTGCAAGTAACTACCAACTTTGGTTTAATGTTTGATGGAATCCATATTGTAGTATGACTTTGAGAATCGTTATATGTTTGATGGACTTCGTTTGTCGTATTTTAACGAAACATAAATGTCCTAGAGTACGCATATCAAAGTTGATTCTGTGATAGTGTACTTATACAGTTGTGCGAACTAACAAGAGTTCAAGCTTAGCATACACAATTCCTTTTAAATTTGGGCTTCTTGTGGGGACATGGCTCTTAGGCCAACCACCTAGGTGGTCGGTGTACACCTGATTTGCTTCTTACATGATATTTATAAAATGAAACATTATGGGTCTGCTAAAGATTACTGATTAAAAAAACCTTTTTGCACAAACATGCAAAACATTAAATACATTATTTAGCAACAAGAGAGTCAGGCTCGATCATGTAAAAGGACAAATCACTGGATCTTTTCCCTATTTATATTCCTTGTTGGAGGACCTCCAGAAAATCGTGAGAAAACAATAAGTGCTTAGACTTGGATTAAATTTGAGATCGTGTGAGAGCTTGCTTTCCTTAAGTGATATTCGACCCTATTCTGTATGGGTATCATGAAATTCACTTGAGAATAATCTCAAATTCTCGGTATGAATTTTGGCAGAAATCGTTCCGATTTAAGCATAGAAAATCGTAACTACTCCTATATTAAAATCAATAATAACTCCCCATTAAATGGGATTGATTGTGGAAATAAATTGTGACGGTTACAAGAAAACATATCAGTTATAAACCTGATAATAAGTGCACAACCTGTGCTCTTTTACAAGTGGAAAAACGCAGGGCCCGCACCATTTTCAATATTAAACACTACAACAAAAAAGACTTTATAGGACACTCATTAGTGTCCTAATAAGGTAGTTAATAGGACTTTTAAGTTTATAGGACAAAAAAATGTGTGTCTCGTCTAAAGGTGTTGTATTAGGTTAATAGGATAAATTTGAGTGTCCTAAAAAACTCTAGGATTATGATACAAAACCCATAGTCCTATAAAATGGTTTAAGTAACACTAAAAAGTGTCCTAATAGACTATAATATAGGACACTTTATGTTGTCACAAAATTTTTGCATTTAGAAACAAATATGGGCGTCCCAAAAAATGTTTTTATAAGACGAAATTCAATGTCCCAAAAAATGTTTTTATGAAACAAATTTTAGTGTCCTATAAAATGAACTAAGTAATACTAAAAAAAGTGTCCTAATAGGCTATAATAATTAATACTACAAGAGTCCTAAATGACTATAATGCGAGACACATCATCCAATTATAAAATCCTACTGTAATATTACATTTAGAAGCATATACGAGAGTGATTYGATAGAACAAAATTCGAAGTTGTACAAGCATTTATATGAGTATCAAGTATCAACTACCAAACTATGTAACGAAAAAGAATAACGCAAATACAACTTTTTTGCTTCTGGATTCGGCTCATCCGGTTCTTCCTCTTCTGCGTCTATTTCATCTTCAAGTATGTTTTCATCTAAGATACCAAAAGCATCATGCACCAATCCTTGCATGTCATCGAGTGTATCCAATATAGGACCAAAGGGTTGGGAAATAGAAGGTGTAATTCTATAACCTTTTAAAAATCCATCGCATATGAGATGCATTCTACCCTCCTCCTGAGTAACCCATGCCTCATTACCGCATTTAATGCATGGACATAACATCTGCCCACTTGAACACTCGTTAGAAAACATAAGACCAAGAAATTTTTCCAAAGATCTTTGATACTCAATAGTCATTCTTGGTAACAACATCCAAGTATTATCCATATTGGCC